TGAGGGCGCGAAAATGGCTGCCGGCAAGGGCAATCCTCGCTGAACGGGTAAGTAAGCAAGGTATTGGAACGCATTAAACTAAGTTTAATGCGTTTCAATACGTTTTCCCTACCCGTTTAGCGACGATTCCGCATAGCGAGGTTAATCCGGAATGGATTAACCTTGGTATGCAGGGCACCACTGTAATTTTCTCCATTTACCCTTTTTTTTGTACACCGCCATTGCACTTCAACATAAGCCAAGCAGAAAGAGGCAAACTAACTACAGTTTGGTGCACCCAGACAGCTCAAATCATGGTCTAGGACAGGGGTCTCCAAACTACAGCCTGTGGGCCACATCTGGCCTGCACTGCCATTTTATCCAACCCGTCCTCTTCAGCCCATCTGTGTGTACATGCGTGCCCACGTGCAGACATCCATGCATGTGTCCATCCATACACATGTCCACACGCACATTCCTTCAGCCCTCAAAAATGTGGAAAATATACGATGTGGCCATCACGCTCAAAGGTTTGGAGACCCCTGGTCTAGAATACAGACATCCAGGTCAGCAAGGTGTAGTACAAACTATAGCGAGAGCAGATTGACCTCAAGAATGAGAAAGTGAAAGAAGGAAATACAGAGGTTCCTCGATTTACGAAATTAATCCGTATTGGAACGGTAGCTGCAACTCGAAAATTTCATAAATCAAAGCACCATTTCCCATAGGAATGTACTGAAAACCATTTAATCCGTTCCGGCCACAGGAAAAAAATAAATAAAAATAAAACACTGCAAGCCCCTCGGGCTGCAAAAAACAAAAAAAAATCCAAAAATTTGCTGCGGAGGCTTCCCGGGCTTCCAAAGCACTGGGACCCAGTGCGACAGTCGGGGCGGCTTTGGACGCCTGGGAAGCAGGGCTTCCAAAGCCGTCGCTGCTGCCCTCTGCCTCCTGTCCCCGTTGCCCTCTGCCTACCATCTCCGCTGCCTCCTGCAGCAGCGGAGGCAGCGGGGATGGGAGACAGAGGGCTGCAGGGGCAGCTTTGAATTTCACGCCCTTTCCCCCTGCCTTTTTCCTTTCGTAGGTCGAAGCTCCGGCCGCAAGTCGAACCAAAATTTTGCTGCCACAGCTTTTTGTAACTCAAAATGTTCGTTAAGTAGGGACGTTTATAAGCCGAGGACCCACTGTAGATAGCTTTAAGGAGAGACATTATTTTGGAGGTTGTGGAGTGGAGGAAGACATGATGTGATTTCCAGCATGGTTTGTCTGCTTTTCCTGTTAGTAGGTGAACTGGTTCGTAGGAGTTTATGGGGTAGGAAGACACAACCATCCAGCCTGTTCTGTGTATATCACAGTCCCATCAGCACTGAGCCATGTGCTATGTCTGCCTGGGCATTTCAGGCTAGACTCCATTATTTAAACAAAGGAAATCAAACATTTATGTGTTTCTAAGATAACAACCTACTCGAGTTGTGTGCAGC